GTTTAGGAGATATTATATTTACCTACAGGTAAGTTTTATTATAAGCTTTCCTGTAGATAAAAATCAAGATAGAGAGTTTACTACCACTTGCCCTCCAGAAGATTTACCCCCCTTCCTGACCAGCCATTTGTTGAGATACGACACTGCATTAATTTAACTGATAATTGCGCAGTCATACAACGCTGCACCCAAATGAAATTTATGGCCTTTTTTTCCCACAAATAGAGCTTTCTTTTGGTGGTATTTGATCACTTGTGTGTTTTTAATTTTTTGTGCTATAAACAAAAAAAGACTGGCAATTTTGAAAAAAAAAAACTATATTTTTTACTTTTTGCTATTAAACATGTCCAGTAGAAAAATTAAAAAAATCAAATTTCATCATAAATTTAGGCCAAAATATATTCTGCTCCCTGTCTTAGCTAAAACAAATCTCAATACGTGTAAATTAATTGGTTTACAAGAAAGTTATAGCGTCTACAAATGGCAATATATATACTGGACTTTTTTTATTTTTTTACTAGTAATGGTGGTTGATTAGCTATTTATAGCGGGACTGCGGCGGGCATTCTGACACTGGGGGGGAACTGACTTGGTGTTACTGACATCCTCAGTGACACCAATACATCCCAATAATAAAAAGCACCGACACTGTACTAATGGCACTGGGCAGGAAGGGGTTAACGTGGGGCGATCAAAGGGTTAACTGTGTGCTGTGTGTTTTTCACTGTAAGCACACTGCTTTGTATGGCTCTGCTATGCATACAAAGCAGTGTGCAGGAGCTGACAGGGGAGAGATCTGCATTATTTACATACAGGTCTCTTCCCGGCAGTAATACTCGGAGATCGCCAGGTGCTGGCAGAGAATCACCGGACAGGACCTGGTGATTGACAGCAGAGGCTGCAAATAGCGGCCCGGGTAGGGCGTGTGCGCCCTCTATCCGGAAATGCATAATCACGTATATATACATGATTTTGCACAGCCCTGCAGCAGTATTTATGCTATAGGGCGGTGCAGAAGCGGTTAATAAGTGATTGAACAGTACTGGCTGGCATATTCAAGGTTTTGGATATCCTTTCATATCCTTTTCCATCTTTATAAAGTTCCATTACCTTGTTACGCAGGTCTTTTGACCCCTTTTCTTTTCTGCTTCCTGTGGTTCAGTATCTAGCCTGCTCAGTGTATCAACGTGAGAGCTAACAAACTCATTGGCTATTTATACATAGACACTAATTGCAATTTAAAAAGCCACAGATGTGAGAAATTCGTCTTTAATTGCCATTTTAACCAGTGTGTCTGTACCAAGGCCAAAGATTCCAGGGTATGGAAACTTTTGACCAGGGCCATTTGGGTGATTTCTGTTATCATTATGATTTAAAACAACTATTTGATAATAAACGGCTTCATATGATCACTATCTTTAAATAAAAGACAGTTTTTTGGCATAATCAGTCATATTTCAATATCAATGCTACAATTTCTTGATATCTCCCAGGGCATGCAAACTTTTGAGCACAACTGTATATTTTTTTATATTGTAATATATATATATATATATATATATATATATATGTATATATATATATATATATATAGTAACAATTAATGATTTTTTTATATGTTATAATATATATAACTACTATTCATTATATTTATTTGTAGAAAATGTTGAGAAACCATTTATCATTTTCCTTCCACTTCACAATTATGTGCCATTTTGGGTTGGTCTATTACATAAAATCCCAATAGAATTAATTTACGTTTTTGGTTGTACCATGACAAAATGTGGATAATTTCAACAGGTATGAATACTTTTTCAAGGCACTGTATATATAAATATACACACACACATACACACACACAGTAAAGTAAATAAGTAAATAAGTATTGAACACGTTGCTATTATTCTCAGTAAATATATTTCTAAAGGTGCTATTGACTTGACGTTTTCACCACGTCGGTAACATCCCATGCAATCCATACATATAAAGAAATCATAACAAATAAGTTCAGAAATTAGGTTATGTGTAATAAAATGGAATGACACAGGGAAAAAGTATTGAGCGCGCTAACTGAAATTTATTTAATACTTCATACAAAATCCTTTTCTGGTAATGATAACTTCAAGACGCCTCCTGTATAGAGAAACTAGTCGCATGCATTGCTCAGGTGTGATTTTGGCCCATTCTTCCACACAAACAGTCTTCAAATCTTGTAGGTTCTGTGGGCCTCTTCTATGGACTCTGATCTTTAGTTCTTTCCATAGATTTTCTATTGGATTCAAGTCAGGTGATCGGCTGGGCCATTCTAGCAGCTGTATTTTCCTATTTTGAAACCAACTGAGAGTTTCCTTGGCTTTGTGTTTGGGATCATTGTCTTGCTGAAATGTCCACCCTCGATTCATCTTCATCATCCTGGTAGATGGCAGAAGACTTTTATCAAGAATGTCTTGGTACATTTTTCCATTCATCCTTCCTTCAACGATATGAAGTTTGCCAGAACCGTATGCTGAAAAACAGCCCCACACCATGATGTTCCCACCTCCAAACTTCACTGTTGGTACGGTGTTTTTGGGGTGATGTCATTTGACTTCCAAACATGGTGTGTATTATGGCATCAAAAAAGTTCAATTTTGGCCTCATCTGACCAGACTATATTCTCCCAGTATTTCACAGGCTTGCCTAAATGTTGTGCAGCAAACTTTAAACAAGTGTTAACGTGTTTTTTCTTCAGCCATTGCTGCTGAAGAGCATGGTGAGCGTGCATACAGACCATGGCAGTTAAGTGCATTACTTATTGTTTTCTTTCAAACAATTGTACCTGCTAATTCCAGGTCTTTCTGAAGCTCTCCACAAGTGGTTCTTGGCTCTTAGACAACTCTTCTGATAATTATTTTCACTCATCTGTCAGAAATCTCTTGAGGAACACCTGATCATGGCTGATTTATGGTGAAATGATGTTCTTTCCACTTCCAGATTATGGCCCCAGCAGTGCTCACTGGAACATTCAGAAATTTAGAAATCCTTCTGTAACCAATGCCACCAGTATGTTTTGCACCGATAAGGTTGCAAAGGTCTTGAGAGAGCTCTTTGCTTTTACCCATGATGAGAATCTTGTGTGACATCTTGGTAATGAGACACCTTTTTATAGGCCATCAGTTGAGACTGAACCAGCTGATATTAATTTGCACTGACAAGCGGCAGGATCACTGTCTAATTACTGATAGATTTCAGCCAGATTTTTGCACCTCCCTTTCTTCATGTGTTCAATACTCTTTCCCTGTGTCATTCCATTTTATTACACATAACTTAACTGCTTCCCGACTGACCTTTAGCAGATATACTGCTACAGGGTGACACGGGGGCGCAGAATCAAGTACATATACGTGATTTCGCATTTACAGGTAGGGGGCGCACGCAAGGCGCCCGCATGCCCTACCCACGCCGCCATTCACAGCCGCAGCTGTCAATCACCGAGTCCCAGCCGGTGATTACTCGCCGGTGCCTGGTGATTCATGAGCATCTTTGACGGGGAGGAGAACTGTTTGTTAACAAAACAGTTATACTCCCTGTCAGCTTGTGCACACTGCTTTGGGTGGCTGTGCAGAGCACAGCCATGCAAAGCTGTGTGCTTACAGTGAAGCACACGGACACAGCACTGTGTAAAACAGTACAAAGCACACAGTTAACCCTTTGATCGCCCCTCATGGTAACCCCTACCTGCCCCAGTGCCACTAGTACAGTGTCAGTGCTTTTTTTTTTGGTGTCACTGGGGATGTTAGTGACACCAAGTCAGTTCCCCCTAGAGTCAGAATGTCCGCTGCAGTCCCACTATAAGTCTCTGATCGCCGCCATTACTAGTAAAAACATTTTTAAATCCCAGTATATAGACCACCATTTGTAAACGCTATAACTTTCACATGAACCAATTCATTTACACGTATTGGGATTTTTTTTAGCAAAGACATGTAGAAAAAGACACTTTGGCCTAAATTTGACGAAATTTGATTTTTTTATTTTTTTTACTGGACATGTTTAATAACAAAAAGTCCAAAATATAGTTTTTTTTTCTCAAAATTGTCAGTCATTTTTTTATAGCGCAAAAAAGAAAAACCGCAGAGGCGATCAAATACCACCGAAGGAAAGCTCAATTTGTGGGGAAGAAAAAGAACATAAATTTAATTTGGGTGCAGCGTTGCATGACCGCGCAATTGTCAGTTAAAGTAATGCAAAAAATAGCCTGGTCAGGAAGGGGGGTAAATCCTCAGGAGAGTGAGGGGTTAATTACTAAACTTATTTGTTTTGGTTTCTTTGTATGTGTGGATTGCATGAGATGTTACCGACGTGGTGAACTTTTCATGTCAATAGCACCTATATTTACCTAGAAAAATGGTGACGTGTTCAATACTTATTTTCCCTGCTGTATATATATATATATTTATACTGTGTTTGTGTTTATATATTTTTTCCTTTTTAATAAATACTTTGTGTTATGTGTATAGTTATCTGTATGTTTATTTGTATTTTTAGTGTATAACTAAGATTTGTAGTTTAGATTTTTTTAATATATATAATTTATATTTTACTGCATAATTTAACTATTATTTTACATATGTTATATATCATTTATTATTGATGTGTTTACCTTTTATATCAATGTATATATATTTACATGACATATATGGGATGACCAGGGGCGGACTGACAACTCATGGGCCCCCCGGGCAATAGGGGATCATGGGGCCCCTGTGTCCTTGCCCAAACTCAAAAAAGCCTATGAAAAAGGTACCAGGGGCATCTCATGGGTCCCCTACTGACCCCGGGCCCTCGGGCAGTGCCCGAGTTTCCAAATGGTCAGTCCACCCCTGGGGATGACATTATCAGTACAGCAGTGTGATTGATGAACGGAACCGCTCAGCTTCCCCGGTCTTTAAGAAGCGCCGATGGTTCAATTTCTTCCAGGGCCGTTAGAGTTAGTCCAAGAGTAGGCGGATCCCTGTGGGATGCTCTCATCCAATGAGGATCCAGTTCGTGTTCAGCTACACCAGTGGACCAATAAACAGGCGGAGTGGCCGGCTTCTCCCGTGTCCCTGTGCTCCATCGGCAGACATGAGTTCCGCTGTGTGTCGCTGGTTGCTGCTCTGCTCCTTGTCGGTGCTGGGTGCCCGGCCGGCGGAGGAGGGGGGAAATATTCCCGGGAGAAGAATGAGAACCGGCCGGAGGGGGTGGAGTTCCGCATACAGAAGCTGGACCAAATCTGGGAGAAGGCACAGCGGGTGAGTGATGTGCGGGTCATGTGACCGGCGGATGTGCTGTGTTATGCCGTGTATTGGGTACATCGCAGACCTGGGTGAGGGTCATGTGACCTCCTCCCTGTACGGCGGATGTGCTGTGTTATGCCGTGAGCGGAGTACATTGCAGACCTGGGTGAGGGTCATGTGACCTCCTCCCTGTACGGTGGATGTGCTGTGTTATGCCGTGTACTGGGTACATTGCAGACCTGGGTGAGGGTCATGTGACCTCCTTTAGCCTGTTATGGCTGCCATGTACTATGTGACTATGGTTGTACACATCCTGCTGGGATAGAAATCCAGAGACCCTGACATCCTTCTCACCAACACTCTTCCTATAGAATTACATGTGTATCTAACATTGTATTCCTGGTAAAGCTTCCATTGTACACATATAATGTGATGTCCTCAGCAGACTCTTACTATCCCTAACGTGATGCTTTACAGCAGTGCCGTTCAACTTTCTTTCATATAGAGATCTAGGCCCCTGACCTCACCGGAGGAGCCACATGTTATGTTCCATATATCTAATGCTAGAGAGAGAGAGAGCTGTGAGAGGCTGCAGGCGGGCAATAGGAGAGGGCGAGAGGCTGCAGGCGGGCAATAGGAGAGGGCGAGGGCTGCAGCGGGCAATAGGAGAGGGCGAGGGGCTGAGCAGCGGGGCAATAGGAGAGGGCGAGGGGCTGCAGGCGGGCAATAGGAGAGGGCGAGGGGCTGCAGGCGGGCAATAGGAGAGGGCGAGGGGCTGCAGGCGGGCAATAGGAGAGGGCGAGAGGCTGCAGGCGGGCAATAGGAGAGGGCGAGAGGCTGCAGGCGGGCAATAGGAGAGGGCGAGAGGCTGCAGGCGGGGCAATAGGAGAGGGCGAGAGGCTGCAGGCGGGCAATAGGAGAGGGGCGAGGGGCTGCAGGCGGGCAATAGGAGAGGGCGAGGGGCTGCAGGCGGGCAATAGGAGAGGGCGAGGGGCTGCAGGCGGGCAATAGGAGAGGGCGAGGGGCTGCAGGCGGGCAAGAGGAGAGGGCGAGGGGCTGCAGGCGGGCAATAGAGAGGGCGAGGGGCTGCAAGCGGGCAATAGGAGAGGGCGAGAGGCTGCAGGCGGGCAATAGGAGAGGGCGAGGGGCTGCAGGCGGGCAATAGGAGAGGGCGAGGGGCTGCAGACGGGCAATAGGAGAGGGAGAGGGGCTGCAGATTGGCAATAGGAGAGGGTGAGAGGCTGCAGGCGTGCTACCAGAGAGGGTGAGGGGCTGCATATATGCTCTAGGAGTTGTTGGAGATTGGGGGTATACTTCAGGAGAACTAAACTAGAGAGACCGTACAGGAGACTGTTCAAGATCCTTGCTTTTACACTTCAAAAGGGACATACAAGTTACTGTTTTCAGAAGCCCCAAGGGCCACGGTGTGGACACCAGGGCATTATAGTATTCCACTTTACTCCTATGTAAAAGGTTGTGAAGGAGCTGGGCAAGCACAGGCAGTCAATAGACCCTCCTAGTCAAGGAGAGGGCAGTGATGTGCAAGATGGGGACAGTGTTATGGAACTGACTCTTCCTGGAGTTGTCATATTTTCTTGCACATTTAGGAGCACATTCTATAATTTATTTACCTTGTTTCCCTCCGCCCTATAGCAGTTTTACTGCTACAGGGCGACTCTCCTGTGCAAAATCGTGTGTGGGTATATATAGGTGATTTTGCACTTCCACCTCACGGAGGTGAGTGCGCGCCGCCAGTGGATTGCTTCTGCTGTGAACTGGAACAGCTGTGTTGTGAAAGGAGGAAGTGATCTATCCTGTTTCCCTGCAGAGCTGGGAGCACAGTCCATCACTTTCTCTTGTACCAGCACCATCTAGTATACACCAAGCACATAGCTAGGCACACAGTTAACCCTTTGACCACCCTAGATGTTAACCCCTTCCCAGCCAATGCCATTAGTACAGAGATCCGTGTATATTTTTAGCACTAATCATTGTATTAGTTATACTGGTTCCCACACGGTGTCAGTTAGTTTGAAAATATCCGCCGCAATATTGCAGTCCTGCTATAAGTCACTCTCTGCCATTTACTAGTACAAAAAAAGAGAAATTCCAGTATATGTCCCATACTTTGTAGACACTATAATGTTTGTGCAAACTAATCACTATACGCCTATTGGAATTTTTTTTTTTTTTTTTTTACCAAAAATATGTAGCCGAATAGATTTTGGCCTAAATTTATGAAGACATTTTAATTTTTAATTTTTTTTTTTTTTACTGGATATATTTTATAGTAGAAAATCTTTTTTTATTTTTAGTTATTTTTTTCAAAATTGTCTTGTTTTTTTGTTTATACCGCAAAAAGTAAAAACCGCAGAGGTGATCAAATACCACCAAAAGAAAGCTCTATTTGTGGGGGGGGGAAAGGACATAAATTTCATTTTGTTACAGCATCGCATGACCGCGCAATTGTCGATTAAAGTAATGCAGTGCCGTATCTCAAAAAAATGGCCTGGTCAGGAAGGGGGGTAAATCTTCTGGAGGGCAAGTGGTTAAAGTGTATATAAACCTTCACCTTTTTAAAACAACCCATTCAGTTTAAAATGGAAGTGAAAGGCAAAACATATATGTAAAGATATATTTAAAGAAAAAAAACAAAAATTTATATATGATCACATTCCCTTTGTTTTTAGTTGCATAAGAGCTAGGGGAAGAGGGGGAAGGCGAAACAGCAGTACACAATTTTCTATGGAACTACAGTAAGAATAATAGCCAGTCAACTAGCATTTTCATAAAGTTGAAGTTCTTGGGTACTTGTGGTGCACTCTATGGGGGCATACTCGCTCCCAAGCCGGCTCTGTCTATAAAGCACTCAGACAGGCTCAGCTCTGCCCCCGCATTCTTTGCTCACCAGCTGTGGTTGACAGCAGCAGGAGCCAACGGCTCCTACTGCTGTGTCTAAGCCAATGAGGATGGAGAGATCTGAGAGAGCTTCTGTTTTCGTGCACATCGCTGGATCGAGATTGGATTCTGGTATTCCGATTTCCTCCCACGCTCCAAAGACATGTTGGTAGGTTAATTGACTCCAGTCTAAATTGGCCCTAGTATGTGTATGTATGAATGTAACTTAGGGACCATAGATTATACGCCCTGGGACTGATGTGAATGTAATATATATATAGTAAAGTAATATATTGAATACTAATAATGTTCAGAAACAAATCAAGCCCTCTCCAACAAATTGCCCACATGGCCCTTGCATCCAAGCACCAATTGTGGTATATGTAGGAATCCCAATCGCCAGGCAGCCATGATGGTAAAAGCAGTCTTTATTTTTCAAAATGGGCAAAACAAAGTGGCTTTCTTCAGTATAAAATAGCCCAATCCATCCATTAACTCTTGGTATAAATCAAACCTTCGACTCACTGCTAGCAAAACCTCCACAACAGGGTTTAAAGTCCCCTCCTGCTGCACAGGCCCAAAGGAAGGACCAGCAGCTCAGCAGTGTCCACACTCCACCGCTCCTCGCACCAATGTGTCTTGCTCCACATCACACCTTATGCACACCTGTCTGTCACCAGACTGAGAGGGCTGAAAAGAACCAGAAGCAGGTCGACTCTATCAGGACCAGAGTACCCATAGTCAAGGTTGGAGGATTTTTCCCATCGCTTCTAAATTCAAGGACCCATATCCGTACTTAACAATGCTGGGAAAGTGTGAATGAGCTTTCCCTGTAACAGTTCACCCCGAAACCCCTCATCCTACAGAGGTGAGAATCCCTGAGTGCTCCCAAACTGTCACATGTTGTCCCCCTTTAAGGAACCACAGTCCAAACAATGGTGATATAGAAGTGCCCTCCAGGACCCATCCCTGGCATCCTGTACAATACCCTTTGAGGGGGGGGGGGGATTTATCAAAACTGGAGGAGACAGAATCTGGAAGGGCTGTGCATGGCAACCAATCAGGAGCTTGTTCAGTAAAGCTTTAAAATGAAAGAGCGCATCTGATTGGTTGCCAGGCACAGCTACTCTTTAAAGCAAAACTAAAGGCAAAAATACTTACCTTAGTTCAAATGGTCTGACAGCAGTTAGTCAGTTCCCCCCTAGTGTCAGAATGCCCACTGCAGTCCTGCTATAAGTCACTGATCACTGCCATTACTAGTATTTTAAAAAAAAAAAAAAATCCAATATATACAGTCAGGTTCATAAATATTGGGACATGGACACAATTCTAACATTTTTGCCTCTATACACCACCACAATGGATTTGAAATGAAACAAACAAGATGTGCTTTAACTGCAGACTGTCATTTTTAATTTGAGGGTATTTACATCCAAATCAGGTGAACGGTGTAGGAATTACAACAGTTTGCATATGTGCTTCCCACTTGTTAAGGGACCAAAAGTAATGGGACAATTGGCTTCTCAGCTGTTCCATGGCCAGGTGTGTGTTATTCTCTCATTATCCCAATTACAATGAGCAGATAAAAGGTCCAGAGTTCATTTCAAGTGTGCTATTTACATTTGGAATCTGTTGCTGTCAACTCTCAAGATGAGATTCAAAGAGCTGTCACTATCAGTGAAGCCATCATTAGGCTGAAAAACAAAACAAACCCATCAGAGAGATAGCAAAAACATTAGGCGTGGCCAAAACAACTGTTTGGAACATCCTTAAAAAGAAGGAACGCACCGGTGAGCTCAGCAACACCAAAAGACAACTGTGGTGGATGAGTGAAGAATTCTGTCCCTGGTGAAGAAAACACCCTTCACAACAGTTGGCCAGATCAAGAACACTCTCCAGGAGGTAGGTGTATGTGTGTCAAAGTCAACAATCAAGAGAAGACTTCAGCAGAGTGAATGCAGAGGGTTCACCACAAGATGGAAACCATTGGTGAGCCTCAAAAACAGGAAAGCCAGATTAGAGTTTGCCAAGCGACATGTAAAAAAGCCTTCACAGTTCTGGAACAACATCCTATGGACAGATGAGACCAAGATCAACTTGTACCAGAGTGAAGGGAA